GGGGGGGTGAGAAGGGTGAGTGGTCTATCTCAACCACTGAGCTATTTGGCATTAGAGAAACAGGCCGAGGCGCCATAAACTTCAATGTATATGCTGGAGTCCTGCTAAGCATGTTGAAGGGAAATGGTGTGGTTGCCAAGAAGAGAAGTTGCTCAGGCCCACGAAGTTGGCATTTACCAGGTGGATTTATTTAACCTTGACTACCTCAGGGATTAATGCAGAGACATCATAGGCCGCCCTGCCCGCTGTAATCCACCATGAGGCCAAAGGACGTGCGTTCTGGGGGAACCTAAACACCGCCTCCTTATTCCCCGTTGGCGGCCGAATCGTCTCTTCTTTAGACTCGACCAACTTTAAGCACCAGATCTTGATCAACCTTGGTTCACGAGACGGACAACAGGCCCGCTCACTTCAAGTCTGCTACAGGTTTCCCCTTCTTCCCCCCCCTCGACACAATTCAGCTGCACTTCGGTCCGAACTGTCGCCGTCAGTCCCCAAACCATCCCGTCTCCGCTAAACCATGGCATAGGTGGGAACAACCAAGAACACCCCAATTTCAACTCTCTTACACTACGCAACTAGCAACCCCCAACGGCCCAATAAGCGGCGCCAATTGCAAGAACCGCTTCTCTCTGTCACCGCTGGCGAATCGTGTCCACTTTCAGGACACTAGCGGCCAGCTCTATTCAAAACCAACAGCGCTACAGCCTACCGCGCATCATATTGAGACGTCAATCGCACCAAGTCGTCAAGGACACCTAGACGGACCTTGGTTGCGGTATTGCCTGACTTGTTGCTGGGAGGGAGCCCGGCCAAGCTGAGCTGAACTTCAGGTACCTCACCGGCATGCATCCCGACGAGACGTACAATCCCACCCAGCCAACCGCTGCAACCCCCCTTCCTTGGCCGTAGGTCAGCCCAGCTCCAGAGAGCCCCATTTTACATGCAAGTAACGGCCCTCCCAAGCCTTCCAAGACGGCTCTGTACCCCGGAACACGCGTACATGAAGCCCGCTGAGGGGCTCTAAATCCTGTCCACGATGGGTAATTGCTTCTCACTTCTTCTTCCCTCCCCCTCCTCCCCCTTGCTCGAGACCGTCGCCATGACAAACCTCACGATCCGCAACCTCACGGCCCTCCCAGTCACCCTCAAGCGTGTCGAACGCTTCGAGGGCGAGAGGAAGCGCACCGGAGACTTCCTCGGCAACACCTTTGGTACCATTGGCTCATTCATGAATGCGACCAACTTCACCACCAAAGAGACCCACGCCAAGGGAGATGCCCACCAGACCGAGGATGTCGACGTTCATGTCGAGCCATTCGCCATCGCTGGCTCCGAGATTGGCGCACCAGACACCGGCAACCACGATGTTGTTCGTCTACAGTTCGAAATCGAAGGCTATCGTTATGAGATCGACGCCCCGAGCCCCACCAACCGCTCTTCTGTCATGAAGAAGCTTGGCGATGCGCCTCTGGAGCTGACGGCCGTCTATGTGACCACTGGCGCATTCCTGGCCATCATGTCGTCCGCAAACCTCAATGCCTGGATGCACGAGCTGCGCGACGAATACCCGCTTCCTCTCCTCTCCATCCCCGGCACCCACAACTCACCGACATGTTACACGGCGCTGCCATCAGTACGCTGCCAGGCCGTCGGCGTCCGCGAGCAGCTCGACAACGGCGTCCGCTTCCTCGATATCAGAGTCTCCGCCTCCCAGGATAACGACGACCTCACACTCGTTCACTCCGCCTTCCCCATCTCCTTGACCGGCAACAAGTACTTTGCAGACATGCTCTCCGACATCTACGCCTATCTGGAAGCGAACCCCTCCGAGACGGTCCTCATGTCCGTCAAGCGCGAGGGCACGGGCAAGGGCAACGACGAGCAGCTCAGCCGGTATCTCCGCGACCGCTATGTCGGCCGCGACGCCCACCGTTGGTTCGTCGAGCCGCGCATCCCGCACCTCGGCGACTGCCGCGGGCGCATCGTGCTGATCCGCCGTTTCGGCCTCGACGAAGCCCTACGCGGCGAGCATGACGGCCGGGGGTGGGCAATCGACGCCCAGAACTGGCCCGACAACTGCGAGGACGGCACCGTCAGCGGCGGCCTCATCCGCGTCCAGGACTTTTACGAGATTGACCAGTCGACAAACGTCGAGAAGAAGATCAACTTCTCCCATGGCCAGCTCGAGCGCGCCGCCGAGCAGCTCTTCCACCTCCCTGGCATGCCCGACTTCAATGCCAATGCGCCGCCGCTGCCCTTCTTCGTCAACTTTTTGAGCGCGAGCAACTTCTTCAACGCCACCTGCTGGCCTGAGCGCATCGCCGCCAAGGTGAATCCCGCTGTCATTGAGTATCTCTGCATACGCCACGGCGAGCCGGGCAAGGGCCCCCATCAGCTCAACGTTGGCGATGCAGCGACGGGCATCATTGTCACGGACTGGGTCGGCGCGCACGGCGATTGGGATTTGATCCGGTGCATTGTGGGTATGAATGCCCGTCTACAGCTCAAGCACTAGGTGTGTCTGAGCCGCATTGTGCTACTGAAGACCGGCGCAAGGGTTATAGACGTTAAGGGAGGGAACGCATCATTACAAAATTATACAGCGAAGCGACAGAAAATGTTATGATATGAATTTTATTTTTACATGTCAAGCTACGGGAGTGGTTCAGGTCTCATCGAGAACCAAGGTTCCTAAAATTGCCCAGTTAGCCAAAGTTCCGCTAATCAGTTGCAAAACATATGTAGAAAATGACAGGTCTCGATCAGTTCTCCAAGGTGAATCGGTTATTTTTTTTCTTTCAGTGATGAACTCAGTACTAGAGCTAATAAAAGGTCATCCGTGAGACGGGGGGTGGGTGTTTGGAAAAAATAAGAATAATTGACCTACCATTAGGTGTCGTAGCAACGTAGTCTTCAATACAAGCATATTACCTATGTCGCGGGTCAGCGACTTGTCAGTGTAGTGTGAAACAAACACCAAATCGATGGTCTTTAGTGAGTCAGTGAGAGTGTCTAGAAAGTAAGGCGCGTGGTTCGAATTACCTCAATATCAGAAAGTGTTAATTGTGTTCATGTCCAGCAAACACCGAAGTGAGTGCCAGTCAAACAGTGTGAATACTTGATCAAATCATCATAGTATTGAGAGACAGAACGCCGTTTGCTGCCTAGGAGCAGAAGAAGAAATTGTTTACCTGCGTTGTGGACAGTCAGCATTGCTGGTCTCAACCACATGACGCAAGCCTTCAGGAGATCCCTCTTCCGCGAAGGCGGAGGGAACGGACCCGTGAGACCAAGAGAAATTGGTAACCACTATCAGTTGACGATCGATCTCAACAAGAAGCCCCGACACCCAACACCACAGAGTTTGTACGCTCTGTTTGTTTCTGGTGAGGGGCGTCGAAGTTCGTTTATGTCCGCCCGTTCGTTCAAATCTTCCTCATATGTGGTGATTGCTTGTGGGTAGGGAAGTGTGAAGGCGAGGCCGTCAGATGGAGCTTGAGCATTGTGAATTTACCTATCCAACTGATGTTAGCATGGATGCCATCTGGATAGTTGCGAGAGCAAAGAAGGTAAAATTTTGGCTCTAGATCAGACAAGGCTGAAACTATTGCACCGGATTCAACATTATGTATTCTGCATGAGGAATCCCTATGGTGTACGAAGTGTTCATCATATAGAGGAAGGAGGGAAGGGAGCGTGCTGGAGAGACGGGAATGGTGCGAACGAACCTTTTGAAATATTGTCAGGAGCAAGTACTTCAAAGTTTGAAGTGATGAGGACTCCAAGGATAACAGTTCTGCTGCACATTAGCTTCAACCCATGACCCGTAAATGCGGATGACAAGTAGCTGCGCAAGAATTTGCTCAGTTCTAAGAAAAGTGTGACACCATGGAAAGGTCTGATTTGGATTGTTCAATGTTGTTTCCAATCATCATCGCAAAAAGACAAAAGAAACCAGGTGAACGAACTCTCGTGAGAAGGAAAATAAAAGCTTACCCCTTTTGCATCCATCCACCTGCCTGCCTGTAGCGCACCAAAGCGAGTGCAGGCAGATGGAAGGTCTTGGTGACTGACCTTGATGCGAATGTAGGAAAGAAGTCTGCAGCGGTTGGAAGAGCTTCGTGGAAAATTTAAAGGAAAGAAAAAAGTCCAGAGTGGGGGTCTTGCCTCGCGAGAAGAAGCTAGCCTATCATAGACTAGCGCGAGCTGTTTCCACCTGCATCCCAACTGTGGCAGTGCTTTCGGGAATCTGTGCTGACAACCTCAGGTGGCGAAGTCTATCTAATCGCCTCCCGCCTTATAAGTGCTCCCCGCGATCTCCCGTACACTCCAACAACCCTTCTTCCTTTCCCGAGTACTAAGCTCCAGGCACGACTTTACTCGACTCAAGCTAGACGTCTTTTTACCAGTCGTGATCTCCTAGGAGTCACCTCTAAAAAACCCGCCAGAATGTCTGCCGCGGGGGGTATATGGGCTCCAGCAGCCCTACGCCTCCTCCGCGTGGGCATCACCAGAACGACGAAGATGATACGAACCAAGCTCGCCAACGCAACCCGCCCCGCCGTCGAGGCCGAGCTCGCACACATTCCCATCCGCACGACGCCGACCGGTCGACAGCCCATCCACCCGGCCGCTCTTCTTAGACAGAAGCGCGCGGGACGCTGGTACTCAACCCAGAGCATCAACAATACCGTTCGGCGATGGATCTCTACGAGCGGCAGTAACGGCCCCAGTAGTTCGGGTAGCGCACGCTTCAGCCGGACATCATTTCCGAGCTCAAACACCTCCCGCCGCGTCGGCCAGATGACTGGCCGCGCGCCATTCGCGAGCACCCTCCGACCAAACCTCACCGGCGGCGCCATTGCCCGTACCCAAGGCGGCTACAGCGTCGGCGGCGGGGCTCGCTACTTCTCGCACACGCCCGCAGCGCCCGCGCAGGTCATCCAGAACGTCTCCGTCGCGATGCGTGCCTTCTGCCTCTCTGGAAAAAGGGTGCAATACGACGGCCTCAACGCCCGCGGCGAAAAGCGCTATCGCTCTGTCTCGGAAGTTGAGCAGGCCGCGTACGTTAAGATGATGGGTGCCACTCGCGGTAACCCCGGCTCCTTTGTAGACTTCCACATCAGCCCCACAGTCACGGCCCTCAGCCCCCTGGCCACGGCCGCCGCTGCGGGTTTCACCTCCGCTAACGCCGAGGATCCCCCCACCACCACCCTCAACGAGGATGGCTTCCTCGACGTCCTGTCCATTGACTTTGCCCGCGCCCTCAAGGACCTTGCCGTCGTTTTCGCCGACCTTAAAAGGCTTGCCATCTTAGGCGATTTACCCATCACGATGGAAAAGAAAAGCGTGCTTCGAGTGCGATTCCCCGGGGTCGACGCCGAGACTGTCGAGCGACTATGTGATGATGCTGGCGTTCAGCGAGGTATCGTCGGGCAAGACGCCGACTTCGAAACCGAAAATGGCGTCCTGATGGCGCTCCAGTTCCCGCACGCGCCTGACGACGATGTGAAAACCATCACTTCGCCCGGCGGTTCACTTCGGTCACTTTCAGGCATCGACGTCGACTTGGAAGAGGCGTTCATGGAAGAGATGGAAGAGCGTTCTTGGATGTCAGATCCTGAGGGATATGAAAGTCTGTCGCCCACCCCGAAGACCAGTGAGCATTGCTCCGATGGATATCAAGGGCTGGAGGGCATCTACAGATTCTTGGAGGAATGTGACCGCAACAAGGGACGATTTTGATGGAAAGTCTCTTCTGTGTTTATTAACGGTTGAAGCCGCGGATTGGAATCTGGGCGATCTAAGGATCTACACTCTTTGTACAGTAATACGAGACTCTGGCCCCACGAAACGGCCGAGTTCTGAAATGAAGTTTCCTGTGTTTTACTTTCTTCATTTTTTCCACAATTTTCACATAAAGTACGGGTCGTGACGCAGCAGTGAGCCGTTACACGGTGGACATTTCAGTTGGCATATCTTGAATCGGTTCTCATCTACTAGTAGTACACTAAAAATGTACCACACAGCCCTCGTCAAAAGCATCATGTCGACACAAAACTCTTAACGGCGTTCGTTGCGTGATACTGCATTCCAACACAATCTTCCTTCCAAGTTTGGAAGGTCAATAGCTCAGTCCTTGTACTGAAAGCCCATTGCCTCGAACCAACTCTTCTTCTCTTGCTCGAGCGTTGCCTTATCCTCTTTGAGCACCTTCTGAAGCTTCTTGGCTCGCTTGGGGTTGCCCAGGAGCGCAGCCAAATCACTGCTGGCACGAACGCCTGTGATGGACATCTGGCCGGCCGAAATCGCGGGTTGAGAGCTCATGGGTGCGAGAGGCCGTCCTCTTTTCTTCTGCTCTTTCTTGGGAGGGGGCGTGGGGGAACCCTGGTCAACCTTGTGCGGAGTGTCAACCTTACCAATGGTCATGGTCACGCTCTTCGCGTCGTCTCCGTGGCTCTTTTTCTGCCTCTTGCGCGAGCCAGTAGTGTCAAGAACCCAGGTCTGACCATCCGGGACTTTCGGCGACTCCTCAGTGCTCTCCGTAGTCTTGGAACGAACGGAGCTAGGCCCAAGATGCTGGATGCTAAATGGCTTCAAGTTCGAGAACGGATTAAAAAGCGCACGGCCAGCTGTTTGAATGAATGGTCCCCGATAGACCGGTGTGACCGGGGGCAACGGAGGATGGATGGGAGTGGGGCCCTTCAAAGTTGCATTGGGGAATAAGGTCGCCTTCTGAGAATCATGGATGGAGTGCTTCATATCCTCGGTCTTGTCAGGCGTGACGGCATGGTCGTCCTCCTTGGCAAATACGAGCGACTTGCTCCGCAATTTCTTCTTCTTCTTCCTTCCCTGGATGATCGTGAGCTCAGCAACAACTGTGTTGTGAACCGATTTCTCTGGCTCGGACTTGGCCTGATTCTTCCTGACAGTGGTGTGGTGCACGAAGTTTTTCTCCGTTTTGGGTTTCTTGTCCTTCATGAGTGCCTCGGAATTCTTGGCGCTCTTGCTGCCAGGGCTAGCTTCGGCCACTTTCAGCCGCTTTTGTTCCTTGACGTCGTCTATGACTGGAATAGTGTGTGCGAACTCTTCATACTTGCTCTTATTCTGCTTCTTCTTTCTCTTGTCATTCTTGACCTCGTCGGTGGGCACAGACTTGTTCTCCTCGGAAACCTCCGCAGTGGTGGCGACCCTGGGACTACTGCCTTGCTCCTCTTTGCCGAAATCAACTTCAACAATGGAATGCGACCTTTTATGCTTCTTCTTATTCCTTCCTCCCTTGATGTCAACGGTCGAAGCGAACGCATTTTTATGGACCTCGGCCTTCTGGTGGCTGGAAGGAGCCTCAGTGGCGCCGGACTCGATGCCATGCTTAATAACATGAGCCACGCCGGACTTTGACTTCTTCTTTTTCTTCTGTGCCTTTGTGAGATCATAATCGGAGCCAGTGTTTCCACCATGCTCGACGTCTTGATTGGTGTTGCCGCCTGAGTTGGTCTTCGGGGAATCGTGTTGCTCCTCGTTGTTCATCTCGTTGAATGAAATACTCTCGGACTTCCCGTGCTTCTTCTTCGGCTTATCGCCACTGTCGGGCTCACCCTTGCCTGCAAGTGGCTGGAACTCGCCCTTCGGTGTAATGTCGAGAGCTGACTGCGTAGTATCCTTACCAATGTGTCCGTTTTTCTTCTTCTTGGAAGACTGCGGGGTATCGTCATCGCGTTTTCGCTTCTCATTCTTGGTTACGTCAATTACCGCGGCACCCTCGCCCTTCTAGGACTCGGTGCTCACAGCCTTCAGCACCATAGGACTGGCGCTCAGGTCATTTTCGAGGGCATTGTGGTAACCGTCCTTCTCATCTGCCGAGTCTTCGGAGTCCCAGTCGATAGAGGAAATGTCGCCGTCCTTTGAATTCTGCTTTGGTTCTTCGCTCGAGGTGCTGACTTCATCTATCAATCTCGACAACAGGCTCTTGAGTAAGTCGACATCGCGCGCTCTGGCGTCCGAGGGATCCATGTCCAGCAGCTTCTGTCTATCATTCAGAACTTTGCTTTGGCGACGAATGAACTTGATCTCCTTGGCCTTCATGCGTAGTGAGAACTGAAGAAGCGACTCTTGCTGGTACTGGACATCGCTAGACTGACCGAGACGCTCCAAGACCTTCGTCATCTTGCTGTCCACCTTGCCTCTCTTGCGGAGCAGGCTGTTGACGGTCTTTTCCAAGATCCTTCGAGTGTCTTGGTCGAAGGGCTTGGCCAGATTCAGACCGCGGCCCTTTTGAAGCTGTGCCGCTTTCGGAGGCGCCATCGTGACTTTGTGTAAGACTCACGAATAACACGTCGGCGATGAAGGGGAGATGGTTTGGGCGAGGCAATAGAGGGTTTGCTCTTTTAAGTGGAAATAATCTGGGTGGTGCAAAGCAGAAGTTTTTGCTGGGTAGATCAAGGACTGGAGCAAATTTGAGTTATGGTTAGGAAGGTAGGTAGTTGGAAGGACCTGTAGGTGAAGGAAGGAGCTCGGTTCAGACGAATAAGTGAAGGAAGGTACACCCTTCGGAAGCTCCCCAGGCAGTCGGAGCTGGTATTGGCCGACCTCTGACGTCAAGCGACAGCACAAGGAACCTCTGCACCTTCGATAAATCGTAACAGTAACTCTTTTCAACCTGCTTCACGAGGCTCCCCGCCAACATGAACCATGACAAGCCAGATTAGTGATAGATAAGAGGAAGCATACGCACTAGTCTCCTCTGGGGATCCTTCGACTCGGCGGCCTTAGATCCCGAACTCGAGATCCGGGGTAAAACCCAAGATGGCGCAACTCCACCCCCACATTTGAACCTCGGCATTGGCGGCCTGCGTTTCACTGCCACTGGAGCTGCCCTCTCTGTCCGGTTAGCTACCCGGTTAGCTGACCATAGCTACGCCGAGGGCAGCTTGGCCAGCGACTGTTAAAACCGTCGCGAAATCCCCAGAGCTCGGCCGAGGTGCAACTCTGTCTAAATCTTACCCCCCATCCTTTGCAATTGCAATTTAGACTCGGACTGCATTACTACCTGGCTGTACACCACGCAGACTCCCACAGAAAACTTCACAATGAGCGGCCCCGGTGTTGGATTTGAGTACCCTCGCCAGGATGTCTCCTGGGTGAAGCGCGATGTGCTGCTGTTTGCGAATACCATTGGTGCCACCGACGACGAGCTCCATTTCCTCTATGCAAGTTTTCTCCCCTCGCCTGACACCTGCGACTGTTCCTTGCTGACTATCTGCTTGTAGGAGCTGCATCCCAATTTTGCTGTCTTCCCTACCTACCCTCTTATTCTCAGTGAGCCAAACCACTCCGAGCGGCACTGCGATTGACCCAGCTAATATCGAGCCAGCGTTCAAGGGCAACACCCAGGAAGTGATCGACTTCTACGCCGCACAGAAGGCCGTCCAGATCCCCAACGTTCCTTCGTTCGATGCCCGCCGCGTCGTCGACGGCCAGCGCAAGATCGTGCTTCACAAGACCATTCCCACCACCTCAGCCGGCAAGAAGTTCGAAGTCCGAACCAAGGTCCTCGGTGTTTACGACAAGGGCCGTCCCGGCTCCGTCGTTGAGACCCAAACCGATTTGGTAGAGCTCCCCAGCAACGAGGTCTATGCCAGCGTCATTACCAGCAGCTTCTACATCGCCCAGGGCAACTGGGGCGGCCCGAAGGGTCCCGCAACCGAGAACTTCCCTCCCCCGAAGGACAAGAAGCCGGACGCTACGTTCTCTCAGGCTACAAACAAGGAGTCAGCACTGCTGTACCGCCTCAATGGAGACTACAACCCTCTGCACGCGACCCCGGAGCCGGGCAAGAAGATGGGCTTCCCCGGAGCTATCATGCACGGATTGTACTCCTGGAACTCGACCGCTCACGGCCTGTTGAAGGCCCTGGGTGGCAGTGATCCTGCCAACATCAAGGAGTATCAGGCGCGTTTCGCCAGCCCTGTCATGCCTGGCGATAAGCTGGTGACAGATGCCTGGAGGACAGGCGATGTAAAGGATGGGTGGGAAGAAGTTCGCTTCCAGACCAAGGTTGAGGGCGGAAAGGTCGTTCTGAGTAACGGTCGCGCGCTGTTGAAGGTTGTGGAGTCTCCCAAGTCGAAGTTGTAACAAAATGGATTTTTTGGATGAAATATTGGGACACATCAGTTTAGATTTAAGCAAAGCATTCTAAACGTCGAAAACGCCTTTCAAAAATCCCTGAAACCTTTCGCTGCGATGTGGTAGATCTCAAAGTGGTGCTCATTGTTCAAGGCCACTCACTAACAATTTTGACCTTTTGGGTCAGCAGCTCCAGTGAAAGAGCTCACTCACTCGAACCTCGTGGATCAGTCTGTTGCCTGCCCACTACAGCACCAAATCAAGTTCACAAAAAATGCGCGCGGCATTTGGGACAATTCAGCGGTGACGACAAATTGCCGAGCTATCAGATGTCGTCCAATAACTACATCGGTCAGCGACTGTCCTACGATCATGCGCTCTGCACTGTTCGATACATAGGGCCCGTCGCCGGCACATCAGGCACCTGGCTCGGCGTGGAATGGGACGACACCGGGCGCGGGAAGCACGACGGCCAACATAAAGACGTCCGGTACTTCTCATGTGACTCATTTCCCCGTATGCCGTTGCATCAACGTCGAGTTTCTAACAGCGTCTGCAGGCCTCTCCAAAGCCCCCACCGCTGCTTCATTTGTGCGGCCAACCCGCCGCAGCGACGCCGCGCAAAGCTTCGTCACCGCGCTGCACGGCAAGTATGCCTCTGAGGCGGTCTCGAGGCGTGAGCCCGAGATTCAGATCGTCTTCTTCGGTAAGAAGCCTGCCGAGGAGGTCGGCTTTGACAAGATCCGCCGGCAGCTCGCGCGCGTCGAGGACTTAACCATCGTGATTCTCGATGGCACACGCATCCAGTTAGACGTTGTGGATGGGGATAAGAGCATCAGGGACACGAGCCCCCTTATAAGCGAGCTAGATCTCAGCAGAAATCTGTTCGAGGGATTTAGTCAGGTCATCAAGATCTGCCAGGAGCTGGACAGCCTGAAGAGTCTGAGACTCAAGTATGTTTTGTCTATCTTCATTTTTGACGTGTCTTAACTGACTTGTCCTTAGCGGTAATCGCTTCTGGGTCATCGAGACGGGAGAAACGCAGGCATTTGCAAGGGTTACCGAGCTGGAGCTTGAGGAGACATTGCTAGACTGGGAAGCCCTTTGCGGGCTCGCCCGCAAATTCCCGTCTCTTGAGACTTGGAGCTGCAGCTTGAATCAGTTGACCGTGTTACCAAGCGTCTCGTTCGGATCGCTCGCCGCGACCCTCACAACCTTGGATCTTGAATTCAACGAGTTCACCTCCTTCTCCGATGTCGCGGCTCTGTCGTCCCTGAAGTCCCTTCGCAACCTCCACCTCAAGGGCAACAGCATCTCGACCATCTCCTCTCCCTCCGGCCCGATCCCAACATTTGCACCGAGCTTGCAGTACTTGGATATATCCTATAACGCCGTCGCGAGCTGGTCTTTTGTAGATGCCCTTCCCTCGTCATTCCCGGGCCTCACAGCTCTTCGATTCGCCCATAACCCAATCTACGACCGTCCCGACCCGGATGCCGCTGGTGGAGATAACCAGACAAAGTCTACAGACGAGGCATTCATGGTTACCATCGGCCGCCTCGCCTCACTCAAAGCCCTAAACTTCACTGCGATCTCGGCCAAAGACCACGAAAACGCAGATATGTTCTACCTCTCCCGCATTGCCAGACAGCTCGCTTCAGTACCCGAAGCCGCCGGGCCCGAAGTCATCGCCCAACACGCCCGCTACACGGAACTCTGTGACATCTACGGTGCACCAGACATCATCCGCCGTGAAGAGATCAACCCTACTTACCTCGAGGCTCGTTTGATCACCGTTCATTTCACCCATGCTGCACCAGATGGCCAAGAACGAGCGACCAAGACGGCCACCATCCCCAAGTCTTGCGACGTCTACGCCATCAAGGGTATAGCGGGAAGGCTGTTTGGTACAGAACCCTTGAGGCTTCGTCTGGTGTGGGAGACTGGCGAATGGGACCCCGTTGGCGGGTTCGACGAAGACGAGAATGCGGATGACAGCAGCGACGAGGAAGAGGCCGCGGAGAGGAGCGGTGAGGGAGGTGAAGCCGCCGGAGCCCAGGGGGCAAGAGGAGGCAGATGGGTGAAGAGGGAGGTTGAGCTCAAGGATGGGCCTAGGCAGTTGGGTTTCTGCGTGGATGGGATGGATGTCAACATCCGTGTGGAGGATAGGTGAAGGCCGGTGTATGGCCCCGAGAGGATTGTTAGATCAAGGTCAATTTGTCTAGCGGGCACATGCATATTGAATCTGTCTAGACTACGTGCCTTTTGGTTTGTAGCGTTTTCGCAAGCTACATGAGTATATACGCATGCTACCGAGCGAAAGATTGCAACACTGGCGCCTGTCACTTGGACAAACGGAAAAAGATCAAACATGTAGAGCTGTTAACACGATGACTACTTCATGATCTCACTTCCTTTCGATCTTTCACCCCCTCGAATATCAATCATCCAAGCGGAACCCTTTGGAGGCTTTCAGATCAATACCTCCCAACCATGCCGCCCATGCCGCCCAAGCCGCTCAAAGCCACCGCCAAGAAGGGCCTGTCTCAGTCTATTCACAATCCACGATCTGGAGATAGCCTACAGTTGCGGCCAACACACTTCATCATCCGCGAGGGCAGTCCTGGTTCCATCGTGCCCGTCATCCCAGTCGACCTACTCCCGGACTATGTGACAGTCCTCGGCCTATCGCGGAAGTTAACTATCGGGGAGACCGCCGGCATGTCGAACTTGGGCACTTTCACCAAGCCAAAAGGTCACTTTCAGCTACAATTTGTTTCCCATGCTCATGATCGTCCCACTGGTGGAGGACTTGAGAGCCCTGATCCATATTGCCCTCGCGAGCCTCAGCGGCTGAGACTTGACATTGCAAAAGACCACGAAACCGGTCAGCAGTCTAGTGTGATCAAGCGCAGCTCATCTGCAGCTTCTACGTCAGCAGCTTCGCAGCCAACTCCTAGAACATTGGCAGAAATCCCTCTCCCTGCTCCATCCCGGGCTCTCGACTGGGCCGAAGACACATCATTGGTCTCTACAGACGACTTCTCCGCTGCGGACTCCTCTGCACCAGCTTCCTCAAAATCCTCATCCGGCTCCAGAGACAAACAGAGGATCGTCCAACGAGCTCCCCCAACCGTCATCAAGGAGAAATCGGACGCCGAGATCGCAGAGCGCATGCTCCAGCTAGGCCGCGTACAGCACGCCGTTCGCCACAACCATCCCGACGAGGCCCTGAAGACGGTGCCCATCGCTGGAGCTCAGAAGCCTGTCCCCAGATCCACCGGCAAGCAGAAGTTGGTCCGGCCGGACGGCAGCCTTTGCCGCCACTGGTGCCAGACGGGCCAGTGCAGCTGGGGTACCGAGTGCCGCTACACGCACCAGATGCCCGTGACGCTGGAGGGGCTCGCGGACGTCGGTCTCGTGGAGTTGCCGGCTTGGTGGCGCAAAAAGGCTGGGTTGCCTGCCAAGGGAACCATTGACGCGCGCATCTTTGCTGCTGCTGGTAGGCAGAAGAGTCCCTCTCCGGCACTGGGTGTCACTACTGCTTCTTCGCCGGTCGCCCTTCGTCCGTCAAAGAAGACCAGGCTGAGGGCGGGAAAGTACGAGAGGAAGTTGGCAGAGGAGCTTCGTGTCGTTCGGCTTGGGATTGAGAGGGCGCAGGCGACGACGTCGTCTCCTGTGATTGCTGTCGGCAGCAAGAAGAGATTGAGCTCTGGATGGTTGCAGACTCAGACGACGGGGGTTATGCGGCAGAATGATACGGGAGTTGAGAAGCTTGTTGATATTTGATCCTACCGAGATCAACACATCTTTGGTGTGTATCGTTGTTGCTCAAATTGTCTGAAAATTAGACTAGATTTAGACGATTGAGAGACTGCTCGGTCAATGCAGATGCCTTGAACGTCACGGTCCACGAAACACCCCGTTCACAATGACAACTGTCGAAGGCGCAATTCCCACATCGAAAGTGCTGGAAGCTGAATGTTTGTTTGCTGGCTTACCTAGCTTAAGGTACCTTACAGTGTTCGACTTGTTTCAGTGCGTGAAGCGCTGACTGGTGATAGGAACTGGTTACATGAATGGGGGTTTCCGACCTTTCATTCATCCTAGTAAACCGGGCCTGCAGAATCTCCGTCTCGCTATAGTGCACTGCTTATTCGTCACCTCTCGGCACAATATCGAATGAGCAAGCGGCGTACGATGAACGCGCAGGAGGATTCAAGCTTCTGACAGCATGGCTTTGGCAGGGGAGCGTGTTCCCCGGCTGGCCGATCGGACCCAGGAGCTAGGGTTGCGCTGATAATGTATCCGTAAGCGGCTTAAGTCCAGCCCACAACTCGATTGAGTACGCAGCGATTTCTCCCATTTCCGACCGTTCGGGAATCGAGGGATGAGATTGATGCTAAATCCGCGGCTCTTAACCCCGTCCAGCGAATGACAGTGCTGGAACCCGTCCACCGAACCTAACATGGAAGGTAATAGGTACCTAATACGCAATGGCCTCCCCCTCTCATTGCTCCTCAGCAATCTAAGTCAACCTAAGGAACGGGTGAAAGTCAAGCTTTGGTGGGGTGTAACTCGTCAGGTATCTCCGCGTATTCGTCATTGAAGACAGCTGGACGACTACTTCGTGGTTGCAGTACTTGCATGAAGCAGTCTAGTTTCATTCTCCTCTTTTCTGGGGACCTTGGTGATATCACCTCGAAGTCCTCAAGACCAATACCTATATAAACGGTCGGCACCCACAGCCAGCCTTGCAATTGTTGGACACCACTCTCGATACCCACTGCACCTCAATAACAGCACCAATACCCCGCAGCTCAAGACTCAAATTACTCAATTATTCAGCAACTGAGCGGCATTCTTTCGTATACTCTCACAACATCGAAACCTCAAATATGCCTCAGCTCAACGGACAAGACGTCGGCCAGGTCGGCTACGGCCTCATGGGCCTCACATGGCGACCCAAGCCCTGCTCAGAGGAGCAGGCCTTTGAGGCCATGCGCACCGCCTTGCAGAACGGCAATAACTTTTGGAACGGTGGAGAATTCTACGGAACGCCAGAGTACAACAGCAGCGTCCTCCTGGAGCGCTATTTCACAAAGTACCCCGAGGACGCCGACAAGGTCGTCCTGAGCATGAAGGGCGGCGTCAATCTTGCACAGCTGAAGCCAGACGGCTCGCCCGAGGGCATCCGCCGCTCCCTCGACAAGATTCTCTCCCAGCTCGGGGGCCGTAAAAAGGTCGACATATTCGAGTGCGCGCGGCGCGATAAGAACACGCCTCTCGAGGTCACTTTCGGTATCATTCAAAAGGAGTACATCGACACGGGCAAGGTCGGCGGCATCTGTCTCTCCGAGGTCTCGGCCGCATCGATCCACGAGGCCGTCAAGATTGCAAAGATTGTAGGCGTCGAGGTCGAGCTCAGCCTCTTCTCGACCGAAACCCTCACCAACGGCGTCGCGGCCGCGTGCGCGGAGTATGGCATTCCGCTCATCGCCTACTCGCCCATTGGCCGCGGTATGCTGACGGGCGAGGTCAAAAAGCTCGACGACATCCCTAAGGACGACATGAGGCGGCACATGCCTCGCTTCCAGCCCGATACGTTTGACATTAACATTAAGCTCGTCGAGCAGGTCGAGAGCCTGGCGAAGAAGAAGGGAGTCACTCCGGCCCAGCTCGCCATCGGCTGGACCGTCGCCCTCTCAAATCGGCCTGGCATGCCCGAAATCATCCCCATTCCCGGTGCCACAACGGCGGCGCGGGTTACTGAGAATGCAAGGTTGGTTCAACTTACCGACGCGGAAATGGCCGAGATTGACGCGACGCTGGCTAAATTTGAGGTCGCGGGTGGTCGCTACCCCGACGGTGCTCCCGTCAACACCTGAGTAACTGTGTAGTGTATAGAAAAAACAAGTTCAATCTTTGCTTATATGTTAGCTCGACGTTTCTACGTTTAGACTGAAGTTTTGAATGAAGAAGCTTCGAAGAGCGGGCTCAGTATTGCTAGTAAGGCGAAGATTTTATCCACACAAAGACCCTGAGGTCTTCAGCATTGCAGAATTCTTTTTTGATCATCATTGTGCCCTGGGTATATGAAAATTGATAAGGAATACGCTGTGGCTTACCATTTATAGTTCAAATTTGTCCGCTTTGCAAAATTTGTTGTTGGACTTTGGTGAGATTGATGGAGAGTGAAAAAAAGCTCGTGTGCGTCTGCGTGAAGACATTTATGTATTTGATGACTAAGCCGATCTTCCTCACTTCCTAGGCGGCCAAGCGAGTTGGTGGATGCTCCTGGTTTCCACTTACTTTACGGATACCTCAAGTGATTGCTCTTCGTCCATAATAATTATGCCGGATTCAGCTCGTGGACGACGCAGCGGGTGAAGTCTTCAAGAAGTAGATTGATAGGCTCAAGAATAAACACGGTATCAGGGTATACAGCAACGCGCCTTTTACCAACAAATCGAATAGAGTGACTCTCGCCTCAGAGTGTACACGAATATGAGCTGGCTTCTACACCATCGCTCCGTTTAAACCGTGAGCCTCAACCCTATTGACCAGCTTCTTCACGTTCGTCCACTCCTCTGCTTTGAGGTCGTCTCTGCCGCCCAGGCCAGAGGCCACCTCAAAGACTGTCAAAACCCCGTCGATACCTCCAGTGGCCAGACGTTTACCCTCAGAAGGCTCCCACACGACTTTGTTCAAGCTCTTGGCAAGCATCGTTCTACCATCCTTGCGAGAGCTCGGGGATATTCTTGCGACAGGCTCCTCGGTCTCCGCAGCAATGTCCCATAGCTCAAGCCAACCTGCGCCGTCAACCAGGGCAAAAACGCTGGGCTTGATCGGCGACCATTGAGCATCATAAACTACGTCTTCTCGCACAAAGTCGATCAGTGGCGACACCGTCGGCTCAACGCCCGCTGTCGATGTCGCCGCAGGTGCGCGAACCTTCCACAACCTGACGCTCCAATCGAGAGACGATGAAAGAACCAAATCGCCGAGGTCCACCGGGCCACGGGCAGGGTGGAAATCCACTGACATCACCGGTGCCGTATGTCCCTTGTAGCTGACGCGGGCATCAACTCCAGCCTTTGCGCCGGCTCGGTCGTATCGGTGGCAAGGGAAGATAGTTCCCTCTTCACTGCCAACGAGGAAAAACGTAGGATCCGTTTGGGGAAATGCTAAGCAGGTCGGACTGATATCGTCCAACTTGTATCCGGGCGGTGCCTTCAGCTCCAACAGCTCTTGTGGTTGGGCAAAGACATCCATGCTCCAGCCGCAGACCACACCGTCTGTAGAGGTTGAAATGATGTTATTAGCGTTTTGCGTTCCCACGATATCGACGGAGTAGATGGGGTGCGTGTGTCCGTATCCTGTTAATGGCGTCTTTTGTACGGGTGCCGATTTTGCTCTCATGTCCCACAACAGTACTTGGCCACTGTAAGTGCCACCGATAATGAGGTTCTGGTGGTAAGGGGAAAACTTGGCTGTCAGAACATCGGACTGTGCATGGAAAACATACTCTGGTCTGTCGCGCAGAGCCAGGCTCCAAACTTGGACTAGACCATCCGGCTCGTGTGGTGCAGTGGGGTTTTTGGTGTATGATGCGAGCATCAGCTCTGAGTGATGATGTGAGAAGTCGATACTGCTGATCATGCGTTTCTTCGACCATCTCTCGTCGAAGAATTGGGCCACCTCTTTCACTCTCCGCCGGCCCTTGCCACCAACGTTGCCGCTATCATCGTCATCGTCATCCACGTCTTGACCTTGGAGGGCGTAATCCGTGAGAATATCGTACTCCTGATCGAGAGCTCTCTCAATCACTTTGGTAGACTTCTCCAGGAACTCCGAAAAGTCGGGCGCACCAGTGACGGCTTCGAGCTCCTCGGCGGTAAGCTTGCGCATGGGATAGTTTGCCTTCGCAGGGGCGTCGCTCGGAATGACACCATCCTTGAGCAGATCCAGCGAGGCCTTGAGCTCTTCTTCCACCTCCTTTCGGATGTCCTGCCGCAGCTCTTCTTCGCGATCCCGCTGCCTTCGGCTCAGCCTCTTGCTGGGTGTCGATGTGATAGGAGGGATGTCTTCGTTGTCGGAGAGAGACTGGGCTCTAGGCCGGGTTGGCGAGGTCCATGCTTCGGCCGTTTGCACTCCTTTACTGTACGAGTGCACCTCCTTGACGGGAGACGGAGGGACTTCGTAAATGGTGGTGAGTGGTGCCGTCGTCAGACTCAGCTGCACAGGTGTTGCTACGGGAGCTGGGGCCAGAGTCGGCTGGCCATTGGCGGGGGTTGCGAATTCCGACGTTGCTGTACTCAACTCTCCTGCGCTTAGGACGCTGTTGGGCCGGCTACCCCTACGCGCCGGTGACGCAGCTCCTCCGGTCGTTGATCCAGGTCGACTTTCTCCCACCAAGCTGTTGATCAAAGTTTCGATGTCGCGGCGGTTCTCGGCTCGGCCTGGAATGGGCGAGACCAGCTATTCTACGCATCAGCAGACTGCGCCGGCAAAGGGACCGGTTAATCTCACGTCGCCTGGACTTCCTGCACTTTGCCGGCTTGCTGTTGCCTGTGTTGCACGGAGCTCTCTCTGTCGCTTCAGCTCCGCGAGCTTAGCCTTCTTTGCGAGGATTTCATCTCGTCGCTGTTGCATTGTGTCTTCTCCTTAATCCCATCGCGGGATTGGCCGACTGTGTGGGTGGAATGTCGTGGGGCAGATAGACACTGATATTGCAGAATAGATAGGGACGAGGGATCGCAGGCGGGTTGGAGGACCGAGTGCAGGAGAGCCAAGTAGGAGTCGACTTTTTGTTGACGATGTCGGATGCTAGTGACAGTGTATGGCAACCGTAGCGACGTTTGGGTTGATGGGGATTCCCTTTCCATGCGCGTTGTCCCGTCGCGATTGCAGAGGGACCCCTGTTTGGAGTAAGGTACAGCTTCAGCCAAAATGTTGTAGAAAGATACCTCGCTGGCCCCTGCATTAAAATTGATCTTCCGGTCTCCATTTGCTTAACAGCTGGTGGACATTTCCACCGAGAAGCAACACTAAGTAACCTTGCAAGGCAAGAGACGCACGTGATTGCGCCAGATCGGCAAAGGGCCGGTAAAACCGCCTCGTTCAATCCGGTATGCGCTCGCTGAGGTAAGGACCCTCAGCGGCTCAGTGCAAGCTTCCAACCCAGTCAGCATGGCGACGGACGCTGGGCTGGCAAGAGGCGGGCCATTAGTACTGGTGCTGGGATGGCGTTCCCCGTCCGAGCTCCAGACGCCCGGGAGTGACCAGACGGCCAACCTGGAAAATCTGCGAGTTTTCCCGAGCATATTTTCAACCTGGAAAACCTCACACCCTGCGTCCCCTAACGTAATTCCCTCGACAGAGCTTCGAAAGGGTCAATTGGCAGCCATTGTCAACCCGCGCACTGTCCTTTCCATCGTTCGCTCCCTCCCGAACGCAGTCGCGCAATCCAGGCAATTGCCCCCAATGTCTACCTCCTCAGGAGTTAACGTACGTCGTGTCCTTCGCCATCCGCATCCTGTGGAGCACCCAACCACCTTGTCTCCCTAATCCGACGAACCTCATCGCCACGCGAATCGACCAAGAGCATCGGGCTTGCGCTTTGAGCTCATGAACAGCCCGGCTGATTGATGACTTTTGCAGGTGCTGCGATACACGGCCCTTGGCCTGGGCGTGTTCTATGGCTTTACACATCAGCGATCGATCACAGCAAGCCAGAAGGCTGCCGCCGCCGCGAAGGAATACGAGCGCAAGGAGAAATTGATCGACCAAGCGAAGGCCGAGTTTGCGAAGAAGAACCAACCCGTCAAGGCGGTGGCTGCTGATGCCGGAGGTGCGTATTCTCCCTCAATAAGTCGTGGCAGACTTTTGGATGTCGCGTTCATGCCCGTCGCTCCTCGCCCTCAACGGCGGCTCCCTCAGAGCACATGAAACTGACATCAGTCGCAGCCAACGTCGACCCGATGGACCCCAAGTTCGACCTTGAGGCCTACTTCAACAACCTGGTGAAGCAGAACCCGTAGACTGGATAATCAAGTGGGGGAGGGGACGGCTTGCACAACTGATAGACAGGGTCAGGATTGGGGATACGCCTGCTCACGGAGAACACGAAAGGTCCTAACAAGGGACGAATAATCTGGTCTTTCGGCAGCAGTAGGTGCATGGTAGGCACCACGCCCGATGTCAATGCATAGACATTTCCTTACGTCTGTTTACCGGATGTACATGTGTACAATACGCTCAACTAGATGACAATTCCAAGGAACGAGCCATTGGATTCCATCAATTACTTATATTTCTTGCGCATCATCTGACATCTTCACACATTGGACAGGGGTCTATCTACGTTGACAACCAACAATCATAGTTTCAACGTAATCTGCACTCCAGCAGAATGCTGCTTTCCTTGACTTGTCTAGAAATGATCCCAGGAAGCTGATCGAAGCCCATTATAGCTCTTAGTTGGCCAAGACACCCTTGATCATCAAGATGCCGCCGCTCCTGTTTATCTAATTAGATGGGCAGGCAGCTGGACACTTTTGCGGATGACAGAGCCATATGACTCGTCTGATGCACAATCATCTCTAATGGCGCAGTATGATCATTCATTCATTAACTTTATCTACGTAGAATATGTCGAAACTGCCACGACGGACCAAGTGCAGTGATTAATCGTGCAAGATATGTCTCTCCCTGTACCTTATTAACGAAATACGCCATGTATCCTCGAGCCCGGGATCCGGCACTGACCCGGCCACCCCGGACGGGACGGGACCCCTTAGCCCGGGACATTCTTTGTCCGAGGCACGTGACCCCACCTTTTCTCTGCCCGGAAGCCACGACTTGGCTACTGTCAACGGGACATACCACAGAACGGCTCGGCTCTCCATGGACCGTGCACGCTGCCCCTGCACCACCGATTCAGGTGCATAAGCTCCAAGCTGTCCTTCTCAGATACCTTGCTGTGAGACAGAAGGCCGTCGTCGCCAGCTCCATCTCGTAACCTTCAACCTACACGGCCACTGCCTTTCTACACCAAACGCGGCCACAATGACGGCCCAATCTCTTGGACCTCTCTCCGGAGGCAGCAAAGAGAACACACGAACTGTTCTTAGAGTCACTATCTTGTCTCTGATCGCAGCTGCCGCTGTTGCTAGTCGTCTCTTTTCCGTCATTCGTAAGTGCCCCTCGACACGTTGCCAAGCGTCTCCTTCCTACCATCACCAACACCAATTGATGGTTGAATTGGAAGGCGCCCATCAAAATCCTTCCCAACGCAATTAATTCATGCTGACTCGCTATTTCTAGGCTTCGAGAGTATTATCCACGAATGTCGGTATTTCCTCGTCCTACAGACCCTCCCACGTACCCGAAACTAATTATTTGCCAGTCGACCCCTGGTTCAACTTCAGAGCAACCAAGTACCTCGTGGCCAATGGATTCACCAAGTTCTGGGACTGGTTCGATGATCGGACATGGCATCCTCTCGGTCGGGTCACTGGAGGAACTCTCTACCCTGGTCTCATGGTGACTAGCGGCGCCATCTACCACGCGCTTCGAGCTCTTACGGTTCCCGTCGATATCCGCAACATCTGCGTTCTTCTCGCGCCAGCATTCTCCGGCCTTACAGCCTATGCTGCCTACCTTCTCACCAATGAGATGACCACTTCGCCCTCGGCCGGTCTGCTTGCGGCTGCTTTCATGGGCATCTCGCCTGGTTACATCTCTCGCTCGGTTGCCGGTAGTTACGACAACGAGGCTATCGCCATTTTCCTTCTTGTTTTCACCTTCTATCTGTGGATCAAGGCATTGAAATTGGGCTCCATGCTCTGGGGCGCGCTCTGCGCCCTCTTCTACGGTTACATGGTCGCCTCTTGGGGTGGCTATGCCTTCATCACCAACATGCTTCCTTTGCATGCTTTGACCTTGATCCTCATGGGTAGATACAGCGCCCGTCTCTACGTCAGCTACACCACTTGGTACGCTCTGGGTACCTTGGCTAGCATGCAGATCCCCTTTGTCGGCTTCTTGCCTGTCAAGACCAGCGAGCACATGCCTGCTCTGGGTAAGTGATGACGTGACATCTTTGTATTCATGTCCACTGACGACGTGAATTAGGTGTCTTTGGCTTCCTGCAGCTTGTTGCCTTCATTGACTACGTCAGAGGTGCCATTCCCAGTCGCCAGTTCCAGACCTTCGTCTACACCTTCCTGGCCGGGACTTTCGGTCTCGCTCTCGCCGGCTTGGTGGGTCTCACCTCGCTTGGTTACATTGCCCCTTGGGGTGGTCGTTTCTACTCTCTCTGGGATACCGGTTACGCCAAGATTCATATTCCCATTATTGCATCAGTATCTGAGCACCAGCCTACCGCCTGGCCTGCTTTCTTCTTCGACCTCAACATGCTTGTGTGGCTCTTCCCTGCTGGAGTCTACCTTTGCTTCCAGAACCTCCGCGATGAGCACGTTTTCGTCGTTGTCTACGCCCTCTTTGGCACCTACTTTGCTGGTGTCATGGTGCGTTTGATGCTCACTCTCACTCCCATTGTGTGCGTTGCAGCGGCTATGGCGGCATCCCAAATCCTCGACACTTACTTGGTCGCTAAGTCTCCCAACCCTGAGGACTACAAGACCGATGATGCCGTCGAGGGAAACCCCAAGAAGGCTGCCAAGCAGAGTGGACTCAAGTCGACCAGTAAGCCGGTCGTCGGTATCTATACCTTCGTCTCCAAGGCCGTCGTTGTTGGCGGCATGTCCATCTTCTTGCTCCTCTTCGTGCTTCACTGCACGTGGGTCACCTCCAATGCCTACTCTTCGCCCTCTGTCGTCCTTGCCAGCAGACTGCCTGATGGAAGCCAGCACATCATCGATGACTACCGCGAGGCCTATCAGTGGCTACGCCAGAACACCAAGGAGGATGCCAAGATTATGTCCTGGTGGGACTACGGCTACCAGATTGGTGGCATGGCGGATCGTCCCACTCTCGTCGACAACAACACATGGAACAACACTCACATTGCCACTGTTGGTAAGGCGATGAGCTCCCGTGAGGAAGTCAGCTACCCCATCATGCGCCAACACGAGGTTGACTACGTTTTGGTGGTGTTTGGTGGTCTACTGGGATACTCCGGAGACGACATCAACAAGTTCTTGTGGATGGTTCGTATTGCTGAGGGTATCTGGCCCGAAGAGGTCCAGGAGCGCAAGTTCTTCACCCCCCGTGGAGAGTACAGAGTCGACGACCAAGCGACCGATACCATGAAGAACAGCTTGATGTAAGGAAAAAACCATCCCGCAGTCCAAGTTCCTATTAACAATCGTGTAGGTACAAGATGTCTTACTACAACTACAATTCGCTCTTCCCCGCCGGTCAGGCCCAGGACCGCGTCCGTGGCGTTCGTCTCCCGGATGTCGGCCCCAAGCTTGACACCGTTGAGGAGGCGTTCACCAGCGAGAACTGGATTATTCGCATCTACAAGGTCAAGGACCTCGACAACGTTGGCCGTGACCACCAGGCCGCTGCAGCCTTTGAGAGAGGCCAGAAGAAGAAGAAGGCCATTAAGAAGCGCGGCCCCAGAGTCCTCAGAGTTGACTAAGCAAGGGGGAATAAGGTACTCCGAGAATGTTATCTTGAGAGCGCCTCTCAATTTCCTTTGTATTGGGACAGGGATAGGTGGTTCTAGGCTCCAAATGTAGACACAAAAAGCACGCTTAGGCGAATGTACACTACTTGATCATGATTCGTTTTGCACTCTGGCAGGCTTCTTTATGTTTACTGATGTCAACGGAAGAACTATACTAGACAAGTCCCATATCAGCAGTGACATGGGACGCCGGTCAGGATCTGTAGAGCAACAAAGCCCAGCAACCTCCTCATTCACAGTAATTAAAGTAGGTAAGACCAAGACAAATATACTCATAAGGGAGCCGGCGACCGATCAACAGGTCATTTGAGTAGAGTCGATCTCGCCCGGGCCCGGAGCAATGGGGATGTGTGGGATAGATACGTTATTAGCTTAGGCCATCTTGTTGAGGAAGCCTCGCGAGCTTCAGAGCCCTAATCCTTCAAGACCTAGTCAGATGCCTCCTTAGGCTAGAAGCCTTCAGTAGTCTTTTGTTCCGTGGTGATTCCCTTTCCTGCTGCCATCACCAACACAGTGGCCCAGTAATGTCGATGTCTATTAGAAGCATCTTGAAAACGTCTCGGTTTTTATAAAGAAGGCCTAACAAGCACCTGCAATAATATACCCTTCCTTAAAGTGATTTGACAATTACACCCCGGCGTCACCACTGGCCGTGGACCGACTTTGGGATACCCTCATGGGAAAAAGGGCTTGATGGGCGGAAAATCCTAGCCTGCACCAGAGCCCAGCACTTAGGTAGAATGCGTGGCAACATAGACAGGTACGTATATCCCACATTTCCCTCCAGGCCCCATGACTTGGTTCCAATTCCTTCCGTGAGTGGTGCTTGAAGGTTTTGTCCTGGGGAAGGAGCTCGCTTAGCGTCGTTTCCATCGTGTTGCACCTGCCTTACCTCCCCAACAAGTCTTCTGAATCTTTGGCACGGTGGCACCAATTGCTCTCTTTTGAAAACTCCTCAAACTTCTTCCAACTTGCTTACGGACCTCATATGAAGGACATCGCGGATTCTAAGGAAAGCAACAGGGAATTCTACGAGCATGGCACCGACGGAGAGGCCTCTGGCTTCGAAAGGAGGAGGAACAGATTCTTCTCGGCATTTCTGTGAGACCTGGTTCTTGCTTTGGGACTTTAGCAGATGTACTGACGATCTAAGCAGTGGCACGTAACGAGGCTACTCGTTTTACTCGCCGCCAACTACTAGACGGTCAGTACGAGCTCCAGAGGCGACCTGTCGGAGCACCTCCCCGAAGACGCATCAAATCGAGCCGTGCTGCTGGCCGTTCCAAGGCATCTTCGCAGACTACGTCGACCTGCTCTGATGTTCACTCAACCTCGCAACACTGCCAATCTGTCTGCTTCAATCCTCCTGGAGGAGGAATTGCCACATCTCCCGTCTATCAAAGCTCTTCGGCAGCCTTCACTCAGAGCCGTTTCCAGCTCAGCCCTGAATCTCGTTCGAATTCCCAAGTGCAAGGGACACCTCTTGCACAGTCTACAGTATTTGGGAATGATTTTGAGACGGAGACCTCGGATAGCAACATCACCGAGGTCACGCACGAAAGATCTCGCCGTGGAAAGCATGCGTCGCATCATTATCGCAAGGATACCAGACGAGACGCTAAGCGCGGCAAAAACGAAACATCTTGCGACTAGGCGTCCAAGATTGCCGTTCACCTTGACGACAACACCGATGGCTACTATTGTTTTGGCTGTGGCATTCGCCGCTCCGATGAGCAACATATGATCCGCAAGTTCCGTGATGGCGACCCGGCTTGGCGCAACTTCTGCAAGCCTTGCCACGAGAAGCATCTCACTAGTGGTGGGGGTGAGGCATTGAAGGCATACGGAAACTTTTGCTTCGGCTGTGGATTTGCTCGTTCCTCTCATTTCAACAAGGAGAATCCCATCAAATTACGTCAAAAGCCGATCAAGAACTTCTGCGCCCATTGCATGAAACGGTTCTCCCAGAAGGCAGTCATTCCAACAGAGACCTTGCTTGGTAGTGTGGGTGTTGCCCCTTGATACACCGAATAACTCTCAAAGGCTAATAATGTCCAGTCTTCCGATGAAAGTGGTAATGAATCGGATGGGCCCAAGTGGGACGAGGACCGTCATGATAGTCGAACTTCAGACGACACCGGTCGATTCAAAATCTCTCCTCAGCAAGTGACAACAAAACTTAATAACGATGCCGTCGACTACTCCAGTGGGCACTGCGACTCTGGAAACGTGTCAGATGAGTTTTCTCCATCGGAATCTGTTCGAGAGCGACTGAGGAAGCGCCGTTCTGCTCGGGCAAGCGATGCAGTATCTTTGGAAGAGATTCAACCCAAGTCTCAATGCTCTGAGACAAGCCTCCACAAGCATGACACGAGCGTTGGCTCTGCCGCCAGTATTGGCCATCAAGCCCCTTCGGTTGAAGATGTTTCTGATTCTGAAGCTCATCCGCGATCCGAGAACGAGAATGCCACCGACCGTTGCAACTCGCCGGTCGCAAACCTCCCCACGTCTGTCAAGCTGGCACCTGCCACGCCCCTCAAAACGACAGCGCAGGCCACGACCAGCCAAGATTGTCTTGACCCCGACCCATCTCTGAACTCGGAATTCACTTCACCTTCCAAGCGAGCAAGATTCAGTGAGCGTGTCGAAGTCCGCAAATCCCCGACTTACTGGCAGCGAGAGCATTCCGAGGGTGACGATCCCTATGCGCAATTTCGATACGAGCAATACCAAGACGATCTTCGCGATGGGAAGAAGGCCGTCCCTCTCAAAGATCCACTCAGAGATCCTGATGGCCAGACTGCAGGACGGTTCCACGTGCCCTTTTGCAGCATTGATGACCAGATTTTCAACTCTTGGAGCAACGACGGCGCCGCAGGATGGCACGATTTTGCCGCAAGATTCAGATCCAACTCCTACAAGGTATCCAGCAACAATCCGCTCCATTCTAGCACTTTGTATGCTTCCGGAGAAAACCAACCAAATAATTGCTCCACTATGAATGATGACCAGCCTTACTTCACCGAAGACCGACCAAATCCGAACAATCGACAACAACAGTCGCACTATCCTGGTGGTGTCCTCTACGGCCGGGGTAAAGAGAATCAACCATGTCCCTCTAGTCCTATCGCACCAACCGGCTGGAATCCACTCCATCACTACTTTGATGGCCACCGCAATTCCGAGAATGACCATGCGTCTGACTGGTCCTCCCGCCGCGATGCTCGCCGCACTGAGCGAAACAATGGTCTATTTGCCAATACAGCCGGTTCCTTATGGAATGCACAAGATCACTACCCCAGTTGGGAGTCTCACGTAGACTGTTCAGGTAGTCATTTTGACTCCTCCAGCGGCTATCCTGAATATCACCTACCCTTCGGAGGATTTGGGTTCAACGCGCCATATGGCCCAAATGATCGCGGACAGTATCCGGAAGAGGATGGCTTTTATCATAGCAACCCTGACTCTGCTTCTGCTCGCCAGGAATACCACCGTAGCCACCAGTCGCCTACACCGAAAGAGCAGCGACCCGGCTATGATTTCGATACTTCCGATACCCATGAGAATTTCAACAAGTCTCAGTCTCCCTCTTCCTACGGCTTCTCTCGGCATTCAATGGATCGAGGCACAACGACCGGGCACGATGCTCCAAACGATGCTGGAATCCCATTTGAGTCCTCAAGCACGAGCAATGGCGCGCTTCAAGAGCCTAGACTTCCTCCTATTGGCATTGTCATGGAGATTCCGGATGACATGTCAGACAGTGATGTCCACACTCTTCTCATTCCCGGCTGCGACGATTATGTTCCTATGGCGTACTAAGCCCGACTTGATTCGCAGCTAGTTGTCGCCAAGGGCAGCTTTCAACTTCAATTTGACTGGTTCTCCCAACATGTCTTAACTTTCTCGATCGAAGACAGTTTGCGAGCTCGTTCTCAGCAACACAGCTAATGACGACACTGCGACTGTGCAACGACAGAACGATATTGTCGACATAAACATTCTGCCGACAAATGGATTTGCAGAATTTTGCTGTAGAATACTCCAACTTTTGTTTCGCTTGTCTTTTCTACGTATTATTTTTCTTGCTGGTTACTCCCCCTTTTCCTTGACTACATAACACCATTATCCCTTTTCCCTACCCAACGACAATAGCCGCCAATTCCATCGCCCCTTTCCTTGCGTTCTCCCTCCTTCACGAACGCCTTTCCGACAGCTTTTCTCAGCAAAGCTGTTTACTACGAAGCATGGGAGATGACGCCTTTGCCCATTCGTTGTTGCACGCGAGACTCTATCGCCATTCAACAGCATCTCCGAGACTTTCAGACACCATGGAGTGGCTTTTGCAACAGCCGAGAACCACATAACGCAGCTTGCAGAGACTTGGTTTGGGAATACTGTTACTTGGAGAAGCATTCATCCCCATCTGGATGGTGGTTCCTACCTCATGCCTGCGACCTTCGGCAATGCTGACGTTGGGTTTGGGAATCATCAATTAGTTGGATCATGCTCTTGACTCTTTCTGGAGGGTTGGGAGGTTTTCTGAAGTCGTGGGCGAGGATCGGCTAACTCGTGTCTATTTTTTTAAAAAAAAGAAGAAGAAGAAGAAGAAGAAGAAGAAGAAGAAGAAGAAGAAGAAGAAGAAGAAGAAGAAGAAGAAGAGACGAAGAAGCCAAGAAGAAGATTATGAGATTGTCAACCTGTACTTAGTTAGTAGCACAATCAAAAATGCAAAGAAAATGCCATAAATGGACCGTACCCCAAATTGGAAACATCTCGAACTGGTAGTGCAATGTTATGAAAGTCTTATATCACGGACACCTAAAAGGCCAAAGGGCCCCGAGGGGGAACAAGAGCCTGTGAAGTTCTTGGTAATGATAATGTATTATGTTTCTTCATGAGTTCTTTCTTCATAGTTCATCTACTCTACCCGCTTCCCTTTATCGGCTTCTTTTGTCAACCAACAACCAGCTCCGCCGCCGCCGCCGCCGCCGCCGCCGCCATGAAATCCAATGATCAACCGAAAGCTGGCGCTGGCCGCTGCCACGCTCTAATCGCGGCTTGTCTTGATGCATCCATCTAAGCAGGTAGCAAACGTGCGCTGGTTTGTAAATGCCCCAAAATTCGCTCTCGCAGTCGCACAGAAACAGGAGACAGACGGGCCTTTACCAAATAACGCTGTCTATAACCCACTCATCATCATTCCTCATCACCTCCGCTCTCGTGACTGGACGCTGGCGTGGACTCGAACTCGTCCTCTCCCACGTCGACCATCAAGTCCGAAGGCGTCTGCTGGGCTCCATCCCCCGGAATGCCTTCATTATCAGAAGCCTCCTAATTCTTCGGACTGCTGCTCCCCTGTTCTCCCAACGGCGACGGCATCCCGCCGCCGCCAGGCGTCTGGCCCCGAAGCACAGTAGCAGCCGGCGCGCTCGCGGGACTCCCCCGTCTCGCAGCGTGGTTCCTCAGCGCGATGAACCTCAGCGCCTCGAGCCTCTTGTCCTCGAACACACGGCTGCGTTCCCGCTCCTTCTCAATGTTCTGATTGCGCTCTACGAGCTCCCTGTCGACCTCGGCAATTTTGGCCTCCTTCTCCGCCGTTGTCTTGAGCTTCCTCTCGTACCGCCCGCAGACCTCGTCTACCCTGCGCGCGGCCGACGAGGGCACGAGCTTGGGCGGCGCGTCGGTAGGTCGCCGACGGGCCGAGTCGCCGTAGAAGCAGCGGAAGGTGACTTTGGTCTGGCTCGTTGTGTCGGCGGTCGTGCCCCAGATGACAATCTCGTCGCCGTCATAGAGCTGAACCCAGTTCTTGGACGGGCTGGCCGGGTTCTTGCAGTCGTGGGACAAGAGCTCGCCGCCGTTGAGCAGGACGCCGTTTGTCGCCTTTGTGGACAGGTAAAAGGCGAATCCTTTGCCATCGGGATTCTTGTCCCAAGGATGCTTGGTCACGTCTTTGCAGGGATCGTGGCCGTCTTTCCATAGCAAGATTTTGAGGGCGTACTTGGGTACTCGAATCTCCGTCTTCTGATCATAAATCGACGTATTGGTTGGCCCACGTCCCCATGACAGCAGTGAATTGGTCATGGGGACTGAAAGGCCAGAGACTACTGACCCAGGGGCGGATTCCAATACCGCAACAGCACGTTTCGGTTCGTCCTCAGAGACAGGCACTACTATCTTCTGTGTATCTGGTGGGAGGGTATCTGGTAATGAATCTTCTTCGGGCGGCGGCGCTGTAGGAGGAATATCCCATTCTGCACCCTCTAGCACTTTTCTGTCGTCTCGTTTTAGTAGAGTTCGATTCGTATCGTCAACGGTAGGTTGTTCTTGGGTGTGCATGGCAGGGACACCATTGTTTGGCGGGAAGTACTTGAAAGCCAACTCCCATAATGCAGTCTTTCCTGGCCCAAACTCCTCCCCCCGGCTTTGAGCAGCCTTCTTGAACATTTCGTACTGGAGTTGCGTCATCTCGGGGTAGCGAAGATGCCACGTTTCGAGATTGTTTTTCCAAAAGTTCATTTTGTTGAATGGTCCGTCTATCTGGCGTCCGGACTCTAGCCTCTTGATCTGCGGTACTGAAGCGAGCAGGTTGTACTCCTCCATCTGCTCCTCCGCCAGCGCATCGAGGTTGCCTTCCGATTTCAGGCGCTTGAAGATTGGCTTTTCTCGCGGCCGTGGTTCGAATTCGTCGCTCGTATCGAACGATGGCGGCTTTCTTTTGCTGGCGGTATAGAATGTCCCGTTGTTTTGAGAGACAGCCGCGGATTTCATCTGTATGTCACTATCGAAATCGGTTGCCCCCAAACTTTGAGACGCAACGTTTTCAACCAGACTTCGAAGTTGATCCGCAGATTGGTCATTAGCCGACGAGATGGATAGTCTGGCTCCGCCGCTGCTCCGTGATTTCTTGCCAATAATTGTCGAAACGTCACCAGAGTCGCAGCTGTCCAGTATTTCCGTTTCTACGCTCTCGTTACCGAGAACGCCCGAGTCGGCTACAGGCAGATTCAGTCGCTCCGCCGGTATCGCCCCCTTGCTTCCGACGGCAGACATGTTTACTTCTCCGAACAGTCTCAGTCCAGCACCCTGTCCTCGAGGACCAAATGTGCCGTTCTCTTTTTCTGAGTCCTCCTCGATGAAATCATTGACAATATCATCATCCACCTCGTCCTCCAATGGCAGTTCTGTATCAGCAAGATACCGTGACCGCCCTTCTTCCAGACTGAGTTGGGACGCATTGACCTGCAGCTCCTCGTCTTCATCAGTAATTTCGTCGAACGACTGGTCGCCATTCGATATCGGTTTTAGTCTGTGGGGTCCTAGCCATGGATATGACTGGAGATCGCGGACAGGCGCGCGGCATTCTGGCCGTTTTTCAAGCATGTAGCATAGAAACTCGATACCTTGTCTCGAGATGTCCTGCCGTACCAAAGGGACAGTGTTCAGGGGCACCGTCATGATCGTGTGCAGTAGCTCCGAGTAACTGACGCCGTTGTTAACGGGATACGGGGGCCTACCCGTAAGCGCGTAGAAGAGCACGCCGCCAAGCGACCATACATCAACCGCGTGGTCGTATCGTTGTCCAACCGCCGCGCGCTTAGCTCTATTACGAGGGTGTCTACGGCCGTCGTCGCCGTACTCGGCATACTCGGAGTATACTTCGGGCGCACAATACAGTAGCGTACCACAAAATGTTCGGAGGAAGGTTTGTTCATTGTCCACCATCTTGGAGAGGCCAAAGTCGGTCAGCTTTACCTCAAAAGGGGCCAGCGATTGGATGAGGATATTGTCAGGCTTGACATCTCGATGCGTAATGTGGTTCTCGTGCAGATGCGCCAAAGCACTCAGCAGCTGGGCTGCCATTTGCTTGACGCTAATCTCTTGCAAAGGGCCTCGGCCGCTGATGAGTTTTCCCAAGTCACCACCTCCGACATACTCCATGATGATGATGAAGAGCCGATTGTCCCAATCGAAGTGCTCTATATACCGTACAATGTTCGGCTAATTCGAGTCAGGAATTGTTCATACACGAAATGGGCCGATGTATTACTTACATGCTGGACCCTCTGCATGATTTTCATCTCGTTTTCCACCTTTTGATCCAGGACACCATTTTTGATGAACCGTCGCTTCTCCAATTCCTTGGCAGCGTAAGGAACACCGTCGAACTTGGACGTGACCTTGTACACAACCGCAAAGGCACCCTTGCCGATCTGGCCGACACGGTTATACTTCCCGGACCCATCCCAGTCTCTCGGAAAACGGTCGGCGTTATCTTGTGTGGTACTGGACGGCAGCGCTACCCGCCGTGTAGTGGCCGTCTGCGGTCTCCTAGGAGCAGAGAACAAGTCAACGTGACCACCTGGGCCCGGCAACAATGTCTCGTTGACATTCGACACGCGAAGGCCCTCCATTCTCGCAAAATATCGCTGGAGTTTTGTGTTGTACGCCATTTCATAATCGCCCACTCGCTTCGGCATCCTAACCAGAAACTCCAGGTCATGCGCCTCGTTATGCATCAACACCTTGATCTTGGAGGCCTGACTTAGGACCCTCTTTGTGTCACACTTTTCGTTGGGATTCTTCGGCTTCGAGCGCAGCAGTGTCTGGTCGACAAAGGTCCCGTTGGTGGACTTGTCTTCGAGCATGACCACGCCGTATTCGTTAACATAGATGCGAAAGTGAACGTTACTGAGGCGCTTCATGGGGTCTTTGGCGAAGCTGATGTCGCACCTCCCCACGTTCCTGCCAAACGTGAAGCCCTGAAGGGGGTCCTTGGTCTCGGCCGACAGCCTCAGAATGATGGCATGTTCGATATTGGGCGGTGTCAGCTGGAATTGATCGGCCGTGTCCTCCCGCTCGTAGTCCGGCTCAACCGCATCCGCCTCCGCCCTACCAACGACATGAGGTGAGTGGTCTTTGGCTATGCGATGTACTTCGGCCTTTGCAAACGTTGTATGGGGGTAGAGGAGGCAGATGATGTCGGAAATGTCCTCGTCGGAGAAGCCCGAGTTCTGCTTGCCTATGCGGCGCGGATCAAGGACATTCTGGGTAGCTAGGTGGCGGAGAGGAGCCAAGGGTCAGCGTTCTGGTCCACAGCGACGTTATGCTTGGAGCCCAAGATGGGACGAAAGGGTATACCTTGGGTGGGCTGCGACCCATCACCCTCCATTGGGACCACTGGAGAGGGTAGAAGCTGGTCAAGCTCGTCTAGGCTGCCGTCGTCGACTGCGGGCTGGGGTTGACGGACGGCCGGCTCTCAAGGGGCTTCGTTCGAGATGCGCAGCCGGGGTAGATGGTTTCGCAGCCAAAAAGGAGAAGCTGGCAATGCATTTACTGAAGGTGGGCAAATGGAACGGTATCGACGCTGCCCTTGGAGAATGGTGTTGATGTTGAAGGATGTCGAATATATCAGTACTTTTTGCGCCGTAGGCTTCAAGGGGGAAAGCGTGGAATCGATGGTTCGTAGGGGCGCCTGGGTTCTCGTTTCTCGTTTCTCGTTTCTCGATGTCCGATGGAGGGGGGCTGGTGGTTGAGTTATATGTTCGTCGTGGATGTGCGCGTCGTTCGCCAGAAACTTTGGAAATCCGGGGAAGGCGACCCTAAAAAAAGGCCAAAGTTCCTTGGTGCGCTGTAATCGATAGTGCGATGGGTGAGGTGGAGGGGGTTGCTGTATGCAAAGTCGATCCCTGGTCACCCAGCAACGTCGTATCTTTATAAATCAAGGATGCGAGGACGTCATGACCAGCCCAACCAGGTACACACAGGGGGGGGCAGCAGAGTGGCTGGGAGAGCCAGTGAATCACGAAGCCTAACAGTAATGAAATGTGGGAATGGGTTGGAAAGAAGGTAAGAATAAGTGTCCATTTAGGCAGCGCGTGGTGCTTCCGGGAGCGCGTTCAAGGTCAGATGATGCGGCGTGGGCGTGGGCGTGGGCGTGGACTCGGCCTCGAGAGCAAAATGTCTCTGATTTTTGAAAGATGCGACGGGGCACTGGTTGGGGACCAATGTGAGGGCGCGGAGGGGTCTTTGTCGTCCTGTATATCCAGTGGCCACGAGGCAGCCTGAGCACCCGCTGCCGCCGTCAGCCAGTCGTTGCTTAGCTACTTACCCTGCAGTGTCCACTAAAAAGTCTACTCCGATTTACACGGCACCAAGACGCGCCAAAAGACGTGACAGTGAGGACGCGGCGACGTGACGGCTGAGGGATCCTGGACCATTTCAAGTGGCGATATATTAGACTAGGTACAAGCTTGAGCCTCGGGCAGTTGCGTTTAGTTGCCGGTGACCGCAGCTCTGTCCTAGCGACCTTCATGTACCCAAACGACGCCCGAATGTCTCTGGCCGACAAATTCCAAGTTACACCCCACAGGTGAATCGAAGCGTTCGTACGGAGTAGTAGCCATCGCTATCACCGACTTCACATGTCTGCCTAACAAGGGACGGACTTGCCTCGCCGATCCGGGCCTGAATGTGCCCGTGCGCAGGCCCCAATACTTGAATCTCAGTCTCTCATAGTCATTGTCGACAAATTAGGACCTCCGAGTCAGGCGCCAGGCAACGCCAGGAACATCTCTAGAACCTCTTGTTTCAATGCTAATATTTTCTCATCATTTGTGTTCGGCCGTCTCTAGTCGTCAATGTCCACGGTCGGCCATGCTATTATCTAGACTCTACTCAACAAAAGAAATCCCAGATGATTGTCCTGTCTAGGACCCAGTACTACAACCAACTTTCCTGTGGTTGTATGGAGTTCTCTCCCAAACGCCTTCCATGTGGCCGCCCCAGATGATGGTATACTCTTTCCAAGACTAGGGCACATCGCCCGGTCTGCTGTATCAACTTAATCAATAAAAACCGTACTTCTCCTTCCTCTCTCTCTCTCTCTTCTTTCTTGATTTCGTGCCCTTCGTCATCCACCCGTCTAAAAAGCCTGTCCCTGATACGGTGCCGGGTAAGCTTGTCCCCGTCCACCCTGACGAGGACCCGGGGAGTAGGGTCCTTGTTGCTGCTGTGGTTGTTGCATGAGTCTGGGATCCATCATTTGAGGTCCGGGCGATTGGCGACCCTGGCGCATTACCATCGGGTTGGCATAAGCGCCTCCCTGGCCGTATCCGCCTCCTTGGCCAAAATTGTTGGCCGCGCCACCGTAAGTACTGGCTGCGCCGCCGTAGTTGCTCGCGGGACTGTAGCTGCTACCCTGAGCGTAGCCAAAGTTCTGCGCAGGCCCGGCTCCGTATCCATTCGGCTGTACCCGCAACTGACCCATTTGACCCATTTGACCCATTTGACCCATCTGTCCCATCTGGCTCATTTGGCCAAGGGACATGTTGCTCTGAGTGTACATGCCCTGGGGAGACACGGGCTGTTGCTGCTGTGCGTACATCTGTTGCTGTTGGTAGACCTGCTGTTGCTGCTGGCGTTGAAGCTGCTGCTGGTAGACCATGGCCTGCTGCTGCTGGCGCTGGTTGATGGCTTGCTGCACCGCTTGCGTATTCATACCCTGCTTGGCACGTTGTCTTTCCTGCTCACGAGCTTGGATCGCACCGACCAAGCCAGCTCCTTGCTGATTCTGATTGGCGTTGCGGTTGGCAGCCATCGTAATGAGCGGCGAGCCCGTCATGCGCGCTACATGCTCCTGTTCGCGCGCCGACAGGTGGGATGAGACCTCACCACTACTGGTCATATCGAGAACGGCGTTGGCGCCGCGAGAGCCGGGACGCTGCAAAAGATCTGCCGAGCTGCTGCGCGAGTGACGCGCGAGCATCTCCTGGGAGCCACTTCGGGTCATTGCAGGAGTCGGGGTCATGGATCGCATAGTAAGGATATTGCCAGAAGGCGTTCTGTTGTGGGCGTACATGGGAGTGGGCGGCTGGGCCGCACGCTGTTGAACGAACTGCTCTGCGCTCATGCCTGGACCGCTTGGCACAGCGGCAGCGCCCGGTTGCCACGCAACCTTCCTGACCGTATCCTCAGATTCTTGTCGGTTATGGCTGGGGTCGTTGGCGGTGGGAGGCTTCATCGCCGCCGGAGAGAAAGGTCGCTGAGGTCCGGGCATGGCCTGATAGGTCATGGGCGTGGGTGTCTTGTTTCTTGCAGGCTGATTGGCTCCGTAATTGATGGTAGGCCCAAAGTTGACATCAGGAATGCTAGGCTCCCCATTATCGGATTCAGCACCGCCCACAGTCCTCAAAACGCCGGCTCTGGGCCGCTCGAAAGACTTTTGAGAACGCTGTGTCTCGCTAGACTTGCGACTGGCATAATCAGGGCTTGCGGTCGACGATGCGTCGTCGTAGTAGCTGGCATCGCTTCTCTGTGTCTGCGGTCTGTGGATCGGTTGGTCGGGTACCGGTGTCCGCTGTCTGGGGTCGCGGGGCTGAATTTGCTGAAAGCCCGCCTGGTCGATAATATTGTTACCCCAGCTGCCACCGCTGGATGCCGAGACGGGCGTCTGCACTTGTGGGCTTCTCAGGCTGTCCGATCGAACCGGCAGCGGCTTGCGGTGAATGGCGCCGTTTGTATCGATTCCAGGGAGCGGAACACCACGGCCATGAGCGTGAGGGTCACTACCATGCGGAGGTGGCGGCGGTCCCATGGCCTGTGAGTTCATGCCGCGATTTCGCATTTCCGGAGTAGGCACTCGGCCAGATCCACCCAAGGGAGGAGTTCTAGTACCATCAGGCCGCGAGAAGTTGCTAAATGACGGCTGGGGACGGACCTGAGAAAGATGCCCCTCAACTGGGTTTCTCATCTGCTGAAGCCCTTCCATGTGTTCGGGCGAAGGAAGGGGTCTCGAGTCTTGGGGGCCGCGGGCCTGAGGGTTAGGAGGCAAGGGACCCTGGGGATGAGGGCTAGGGGGACCGAACGACTGCTGGGCAAGGGGCGATCGGGAACGCTTCTGGTTCATGGGCGGAATAGGGGGCGGGAGACCACCAGAGGGAGGAGGGGTTGGGTTAGGGGTCAGAGCTTCACGAGACAAAGTATCGTTAGCAGTGCCTCCTACGTGTTGGTCGGGATAAGCTTGAGGATGTACCAAAGGACCAGATGGCGCACCATCCTCCCCACTCCGCCGCTCAGAGGACGCATCGGATGGGCTATCGGGTGGGATCACAAATCCTCCTGCCTTTGTCAACTGGGACAGGGTAGTGTTTGACAGACGAGTAGTAGCCCTGCGGAGATCTGGAGAGTGAAAAGGCTTGCCTGCAGGCTTGGAGTTAGGACCGTAATTGAAAGCTGGAGGCGCAGCGACAGGCTCTGGCGATTCCATCTTGCGCACAGTTCCCTCAATCTCTCGAACCGGTGTGCTCCGGGCAACATCTTCTTCCGAGCTCTGAGTTCCTGAACGAAGAATGCCTCTTGCAGGTGCTGGGCCTTGTGCTGCTGGAGAGGGTCCTCTGACTGGCGAGGGTGCAGGTGAGTTGTTGCTAGAGTTGTATGAGCTGTCGTATCCATGGTCCTCAGGAGGCTGGGGTGTGTGGCCAAGCAGGTGAGGATCTGAAGAGTTGCGTGCATGGTTGGCCTTGTTCATGATACCGGCCAATGCAGGAGGTGCACGAGAAGTCGTGACAGGCGTACTCTCTGAGCGGTTTGGCGTGCCGAGCGACATGGACCGAGATGACCGATTTGAAATGGCATCAGCTGCAAAGCCTACTCTAGGCTTGGCTGGCACAGGGCTGGAGGTGCCATTGCCGAAGCTGAGACGGTTGCTCTTCTTGCTTCCACTTCTTTGACGCATGCCTTGGCTCTCATCCACTGCATTCATTCGCTTACCAGTGAGCTCCTTGAGCTTCTTTCTCCACTCACGCTCTGACCAGCCTGAGCTGCCTTCTTCCAAGATCAGTCCAGAAACGTCGAGGATCTCGAGGTAACCATATCTGCGGTGCTTTGGCATAGCGAACATCAGCGACCTCGGGTCTAAAACGCTAGCCACGAGTCTACCAGGGCGTCCGTAGAGGCAGAAGGTGTCCCAGGTTGGGAAGAGGAAGCGCAGCAGCATTTCGAAGCCGCTCACAGCAGGGTGAGTCTCCGGCATGATGAAAACGAAACCCTCGGTGGACGATGGCGGGTCGGAGTGTATGGTGATGTTGCCCTCAATCTTGAGGAGGGTGGAGGCATCGATCAGCGACTTTGCCTGCGGATAGATGGCATACGACGAGTAGGCATCGGTAATTGTGGCGATCGGGCGGGCCTTCTTTTGCTTCTTGCCGTCCTTCTTGGTGTCGTAGAACTTAATGTCTCCCTTGAGAATGGGCATCGACCGATCATAGGGTGACTTCTTCCGCATCACCTTCTGAGCCTTTGCATACTCCTTCTCGTCAGGCGGGGAAATGACACACCAGCACCGTCTCCAAGGCACTCCTGCGCCGAATCGCACACGCACCCATTCCTCGGTCTTGAACTTGGATCTATCCATAATGAGGTTAATGTTGTTGAGAGACTTGCCCTTGCCGGCGATCAAGGCACCCGTGTAAGCCTCCTGCAGCGTTGAGTGCTCGTACATGGCGAGCCTGATGCCAGCAGTCCATTGTATTAATGAGTGATGGGAGTTGAAGTGCAGCAGATAACGGTTTCTGCCGGCAGTTGAAACGCTGAGGATATTCTGCAGCGGCTGTTCGTCATTCGATCGTGTTGGTAGAGAGTCAATCTATACGCCAAGGGCAGGTTTAATTAGCACTCGAGTCCCCGCACCATCGCGCCTGCCAATCTTGCCAAATTTCGCAAATCCGGCTGGGCACGACAATCGGGGCTTGACGTACCATCTTAATCGAAGCATCCGTCAAGTTGATGAACTTTGGGAGGATCTCGCCGTCCTCGCCAGCGGCGTCGAGCTCTGCCGCATCCCATAGCGACAGGACGGTTCCGACAAGCTGAGCGAAGCACTCGGTCCAGGTGCGGTCGGCATTGGGCTTGCCCTCTGTGGATTTAATCTGGTCAGAGATCGGTCCGAGTGTAAGGCGCGTCACCTGCTAGCTGCAGACGCAAAGGCAAAATAGAATAGAAATGAAGCCAAAACTCAATAAACAAATAAACTCACGGGTGTTTTGATCATCCAACTTCAAAAAATAGCCTTCCTGATACAGCTTGTTTGCATGGCTGTTGAGAAAAGTGAAAATGGGCTGAAGCTCGGGAATGGTATCTTCGTTGATATCCATGAGGGGCGGCTGGTATGGCATTATCATCGAAAGTGGGCGGGAGGAGCTGCGTTGACGGCCGGAGACGGCTCTGGGGCTATTTACGGGCGAGCTGTTGGCAGTTCCGTTGGCGGGCGATGACGCATATTCGGAGGGTGGACGCGCGGGCGAAGTAGGGGTTGCGGGGCGCTGGCCAAAACTGGCGGGCGGATCTGGGGAGGGCTCTGTCTTTTGAGGTTGTGATTGTGTTGGTGGTGGCTGCGACTTGAGGTTGTATGGAGGAAAAGGTGTTGCCGCGTCGGGGGGAGGCGACGAAGTTGGAGTTGGCTGATTTGTCTTGCTGCCGTCCCTCGAGGTGGCAGAAAATTGGGACATGAATGACAGGACTGTTGTGCCCACGGAAGCGGATTTGGTCAGCATGATGCGCGCGTCCCATGGTTGTCCTTCGAGGAATGACACCAGCGCGTCAGAGAGCTTGGTTGATGAGGGTGAAAAGGCGAATCGGAAGTCAATGAACCAGAATTGTTTGTTAAAGTCCTCGTCGGCGATTGTCAGGTCCACTTCGAACTCGC